TGCTTTCCCCTGGGACATGTGGTGCATCCTGACCTCTCCATCCCAGTCCCATGGAGCCCATCATGGAGCCAGGGCAGGTGTGATGTATTTGCTGGCTGGCTGCTGCCACGCAGACGTGGGTGTCATCCAAGAGCAGGGCATTGGGGAAGCAGGGAAGGGACTACCAGACTTGAGATACTGGCTCTGCACAGCTGCACGCCTGCTGGGAGTGGGAGCTGGGACCCCAGTGTTGGCAGCAGTGTCCCACAGAGACTCGTGGTGGCAGCCGGAGGGGAGCTGTGGCCTGGCCCAAGGCCAGCATGGTGGGGTGGGCAGGGCCCCAGGAGCTGGACCCTTGTGTGTGTGCACCCTCGTCCCCAAACTGCTCCCAGGTGCTTGCACACATATGCACTACCTCCCCCCCACCCCCCCCCACCCCATGCACGGGTGCTGTGCTGGCGGCCACGGTGCCAGCAGCGGGCACAGCTCTCCCGCTCCATCTCTCCAATGAGCTCCCAGGCTGTGGGGACCTTTTTCTTTTTTTTTGGTGTTTAATCTGCTAGTTTAGCTCTCATACCCCTCATGGCAGCAGGTTTGTTTTTGCTGGCCTTTTTTCTTTCCCCCCTGGATTCCTCTGGAGCTGGAGAAAGGTACCATGGCAGCTGCACTCCCCCCCAGCCCCGGGGCTCTTTGGTGTGGGTGGGCAGCCTGCTGGGTGCTGGATAAAGGAGCCATGGAGAAATACAGGGGGGTTAGGGGCTGGGGGCCGGCACAGGAGAGCAGAAGCCCCGCTGCCAGCACTCAGGCAGGGACTGCTTTGCTTGGGGCGGGGGGAAGGAGCAGCACAGGCCCTGGTGCAGCCTGGTGCTGCATGCACGCAGTCAAAGAGCTCAGCTGCAGTGTAGGGTGCAGGGGTCCCCCCAGAGAGCATTTCAGCCACATGCAGGGCAATGGGGGGCTGCAGGGATGGGAACAACCCCCCAGCCCAACAGCTCCCTGGCTGGAGGCGATTGCTGAGATGTACAATTAACCTTCCTGTTGCAATTAATACGTACAATCTAATGGGAGCCGGCGAGCAGGGTATGGGGGTGTACAGACACACAGGTGCATGTGCGCCATGGAGGCAGCTGCCATCTCGCTGCCAGGCAGGCTGCTCGCAGTGCACAGAGCCCCCGCCTCGCTGCTGCATCAGGTGCTGACCTCGCCTGCCTCACCCTCTCCCTCCTCCCCAGTCAGGATGCAGGTCCAGAGCCTCCTCCTCCTCCTGGTGCTGATCCTGCTGGCTGCCACCACCGAGGCTGGCAAGAACAAGAAAGGTGAGGGGCAACCAGGGGCCGGGGGCCAGTGCCAGCTCAGGGTGTGCTCCCATGCCCCCACAGCGAGCACCCGCTCCCCCTTCCCTTGCAGAGAAAGTGAAGAAGGATGGCTCCGACTGTGAGGACTGGCGCTGGGGACCCTGCGTCCCCAACAGCAAGGACTGTGGCCTGGGCTACCGTGAGGGAACTTGCAAAGATGAGACTAAGAAGCTCAAGTGCAAGATCCCCTGCAACTGGAAGAAGAAGTTTGGAGGTGGGTGCATAGCGATGGGGTGGCTGGGGACCACCCTGGGCTGGGTGGCTGGGGAACCACACTAGGTCCTGGCCGGCTCTGATGCCTCTCCCCTCTCTTCCAGCTGACTGCAAGTATAAATTTGAGAGCTGGGGGGCATGTAGCGCTCAGACAGGTGTGAAGACTCGCTCCGGCATCCTGAAGAAAGCCCTGTACAATGCCCAGTGCGAGGAGATCGTCTATGTGACCAAGCCCTGCTCTTCCAAGATCAAGTCGAAGTCCAAAGGTCAGTCAGTCCCCACCCCTCTTGTCCCCAGAAGGGTCCTGCTGGGACCGTGGGCAGGGTCCTCCAGGAATACCCCTGGACCCTGCCCAGGGGTAGTTTGGCCAGTTGGACTTGGGCTTTGCTGGTGGTGTGGGGGATCACGTAGGACACTCTTCCCTCTGCATCAGCACATGTGACAGCCCCAAAGTCCAGCTGCTGGCTGGGTGGGATGCAGGTGCTGCTAGGAAAAACCCTGGTGTCCCCATGTCCCCCCCCCCAAGTCACCAGCAGCTTCAGTGGGATGGGGATTTCCCCCTCTCCTCAGTGGGGCTTTGTGTGGTGGGGGGAAGCTGCCTGTGGGGATGCAGCCCCTGCACTGTGCTACATTTCTGCCAGAGCAGCTCCTGGGATCAGTGAGCTGCCAGCAGACGCACTAACTCTTATCTCCTGTGCTCTTGGATGCAGCAAAGAAGGGCAAGGGGAAGGACTAGAGCAAGAAGCCAGCATCCTCCTTGGTGCCCACGGGGCTGGATGCCCAGCTGCAGCCGGCCCATGCTCCAGTCTTCCTCCTCCTCTCCTTCCTCCTTTCCGTGACCTCCTCTTTCACTGAGATGCCTTGTTTTAATCGCTAGTGTTGTAGAGAGCAAACCCACCCACCCCACAGGAGGGGCTGCCCCCCTCCCTGCTGCCCCACCGCTGCTGCCAGTGTGGCCTTCTCGCCTCCTCTCGGCGGCTGTTGGGGTTCGCAGGGATGCACCTGGAGAGCTGGGAGGGGAACACATTTTTCCACTCTCTGGCACAAATGAGTTGGCCTTTAGTGCATCCTTAGGCAAGCCTGGGAGCCTCTTCACTCCTCTGCCAGGTGCCAGAGGGAAGAGCAGGGTGCTGAATGCCCAAGTAACCCCACACCTTACTCACGTGCTCTCAGCTCGAGGGGCTTCTTCCAGCATTCCTTTAGCCAGGGCACAACTTCCCTGCAGCAGCCAGGGAAAACAAAGCCAGTGCCCCCAGGAACCACTGCCTTCCCTCTCCTCCATCACTTCTAATCACATGCATCCATGCCCGGGCTGCAGCCCCTCTGCCTTCGATGCGTCAACACTGGTGCTGGGTGGGAGCTCTCACTTCTTTTGGAAAATGGGGTTTGTTTTCTTTTCCAATAAAAATCTTTTAAAAAATAATGTTGGAACTTGCCTGTCATCCCCACACAGTGCTGCTGTGCTGGAAATCCCAGCAAACCCCAGCTTTGCCCAACCATGCCAGGACCAGCAGCGAACTCACCATGCAGCGGTGGTCTGGGTGCCACCACATATGGTCCTGGAGAAGGCAACCATGGGTCAGACCTCACGGCCTCTTGGCAGCACTTCAGGCTGCGCCTCTCCTGGTTCTTGGAAGGAAGGATGGGGCTGCCACCCACCTGCTGTAGGAAATATCACCAGTGGGTGACACTGGGAAGCTGGGGAGGAGCAGCTGGGTGACGACTCATTCACTCCTCACACCATGGCCGCTGGTTTCTGGTCCGAGGTCTTTATTTGTCTCAGGGTGGACTGGGCTGTGGTTGTAACAGTTTAAAAAAAAAAAAAACCAAACCAAAAACAAAATCCCACCAGGAATTTTGGGCACCACTATGTGAATTATCCTAAAGGCAGTGGCAGGGACTGGGGGGCCCCAGCTGAGCCGGGGCAGCCTTTCTCCAGGTTGCACAGCATTGCCCCAGCATGGGGACGGGAAGGACATACGGACGCAGCATTTGCCAGTGCCAGCGTGGCTCTGTCCCACCTCTCAGCTGCGCCTGGCCATGCCTGCCGAGGCTTGCAGAGACCAGGCTTCGGGAGAAGCTGAGCAGCCCCAGGGTGGTCTGGGCTGCACACACAGGGGGCTGGGAGGGGGCTGGAGACACTGGCTGAAGCCCGCATGCTCAGGGCTCCGCCACAACACCAACGACAGGGTTACATCCATTTACAAAGCTCAGCAGCTGGCTCCTTTGGCCTCCCTGGGGTGTCTGCCCTGCGCCTGGGGCAGGAGCAGGGCTGGCGGGGGCACCATCATCCTCTCCCACCCCCAGAGCCATGCATCAGGCCTCCCACACCCACCATGGGGAGAGCAGGGACCCCCTCACAGCCCAGATGAGACACAGGGCACCTCGGTCACAGTGCAGAAGCTCTTTCCGACCCTCTCTGAAACCCACACACC